TCCTGTTGATAATTACCGCCACCGCAGTACAGTATGTACGCTGAATGGCGGAGACAATGCGTTTGGTTATCCTTCTTGCTGCGATGTCACCCTTGAATGGTAGCTCAATGTACACCTTCTTGTTAGGGGCTGTCAACACCATCCCCTTGGGCGGTCTAACTTGGCTATGTTTGTCTATGAATCGCTTTGAGTAGCCATTCTCCATAAGTGTTTTAGTGATCAGCTCAAGCTGCTCAGACAGGCAGTCGTTGGAGCAGATACGTCTGGCCCGAGTGAATAATGTTTTTACTAGCGCGCGCTTGTGTGCAATCCGTGAGAAGCTAGTGAAGTGTAAGTATTGGCCGGACCACGTTGGTTTCCGGTATACAGATCGCTTAATCAGCCCATTATCCCTGAGACTCATGAGAATGCCTGGATACGGAAGACCCCCATTCGATTCGAATTCAAAAGTCACCTTCAGATTGGCGTGAACATTATTAAGTTAGTCTACTAGCTGTTTGATTTGCATCCTCGTGGAACCAAAAACAAGGATATCATCTACATATCGTTTGTAATACGGCAGCTGGGAAATATATATATATATATTATACACAATCTGTGGTACAGATATTGTGCCATCGGAATCATGGCTGAATAGGAAAACAATATGAATAATAAGAAAAGAGCAACAAGAAATGCTTTTTTTGTCAAGTTTACCACTCACAGTTTTTGAAACTTTTTTTTTAGTTTGTTCGTTTTTAGGGGGAGGAGGAAGGGACACCGCAACACACTGATGCACACGTCCGCCATTGACATCGATCTTGAGCCATAACTTCCAAGGTTTTCAACCAGCAAATATCCTCGTCTCTCGGACCCCAACCAGGTAGTCGACAACAACCGGCCGAGGCCAATTGTTTCGTCAACTTTTTCATGCGGCTTCTCCATGTTGTAGGCTGTCCACCAGACCGTCTCTTCCAGCCCTGTCCAGCAAGTGCAAACAACGCACGACGGGGGTAACGCTGGACAGGCATGCGCAATACGTGTCCCAACCACCGCAGTTGATGCAGTGAGATGAGCTCCTCGAGCGAGTGGCTTCCACGTCCCAAGACACGCTGTCTAACTTCCACATTGCTTACGTGGTGCTGCCACCACACACGGGCAATGGACCGCAGACAGCGGTGCTCGAAGACGGATAGGCTGCGCAAGTCATCTTTACGAATGGGCCAGGTCTCGCATCCGTACAACAGCACAGCACGAACAGTTGCACAATAGACCCGCCCTTTGATGGAGAGACGAATGTCGTGGCGACGCCACAAATGCCTCAGCCTAGAAAAAGCGAGGCGTGCTTTCGAGATGCGCATCGAAATCTCGTCTCCAACAGCCCCGCCAGCAGTGATGCAACTTCCCAAGTAGACAAAGCTCTCCACAACCTCCAGTGTCTCACCAGCAAGCGTGAGTGCAGGCAGAGGCACCTGCCAGTCTTGAAGGGGAGCCTTGCATTTGGATGGCGAAAAGCACATACCATACTTTGATGCTTCAATCGTCAAGCGGTTTAATGCAAGTTGGACGACCTGTGGATCGTCACCTAGCAAGACGATATCATCAGCATAATCCAAATCAACAACTCGACTACCTGGGAGGAGCTCAACGCCAGCGTTCAACGAATCGCTCAGAGCGTTCTTCAGGACATCCTCAATGGCAAAGTTGAATAGGAACGGAGAGATAGGGCATCCTTGTCGAACTCCACTGGAGACCACAAAGGTAGGCGAAAGCATGCCATAAGCCCTAACCCTGCCCGAGGTCAGACTGTACAGAGCGCGCAGTATGGCGACGAACTTCTCGGGGACACCGTTCCTCAGAAGGCACTGCCACAGTACTGTACGATCGACAGAATCGAAGGCAGCACGGATATCCAGGAACACAGCAATTGTTGGCCTCTGATACACATGGCGGAGCTCGAGGATCTGGCGAAGTGTGAAGATTTGATCGATGCAGCCGCGACCAGGGCGAAACCCAACTTGTTCTTCTCGCTGCAACGATTCGCGTGTTGGGGATAGCCTGCGAAGTATGATGGACACCAGCAGCTTGCAAACGACGGGGACTAAACTTATTCCTCTGTAGTTGGAGCAGATTGTGCGCAGGCCCTTTTTGAAGATGGGTACGACTATCGATTCACCCCAAGATGATGGAACCTTCTCTTTCGACCAAATTTTCGAGAACAAAACGGTGAGTTCTCGGACCAGCGATGCGCCACCATCTTTAAATAGAGCTGGGTGAAGACCATCAGGGCCGGGAGCTTTATAACGCTTCATGTGCCGGAGCTCCTGCTCGATTTCCTGGGAAGAGGGAGGGTCTGTTGGGGTAGACCACTCGGCTCCAGCGCGAGCGCCAGAGGTAGCAGATGGAGCTGGGGGCCAACAAAACTGCGAGCCAAAATGTTCGGCCCATCGCTCCAACCGTCGTTGAAGATTGGTGATTAAGGTGCCATCTTCTTCGCATATTGTTTCACTTATACCAGATCGAACACCTTCGGTGACTCGAAGGAGATGGAAGAGTTTCCCGGTATTACCACAGAGACTAGCAAGCTCCATCTCCCTAGCACGTTCACACCACCAAGCTTCGCGGTCCATTTGCAGACTCCTGCGCAACTCTCGACCAAGGTATTGGCGTTCTTCAACGTGTCTCGAATCCGATGGGATCAAGCGGCGTTTGTCCATCAGCGACAAGGAGTCGGCGGAAATCCAATGTTTCGGTGGGTGACGGGTAACTCCACAAGTGTCGATACTGGCGGAAACTAACACATCTTTGATATGCGCCCACTGCGAATCGAGATCACCGTCAATAGTTGAGCCAAGCAAAGTTGACAGTGAGGCTTGGTACCTGGTTAAAACCGCAGCGTTTTGTAGATTTGCGACGTCCGGTCGGTAGTGGGCGCGCTTAGGTGATCCTCCGAAACGCATGCAAATCTTAGCACGAACCAATGCGTGATCAGAGTCCAGAAAAGTTGACCAGTACGATCGGCAGTCCATTACGCTTCCGCGCCACCTGTAGCTGATTGCTATGTGATCAAGCTGGGAGTACTCTTGCGTTTGTGAGGGCGTGCGCCAGGTAGCAGTGTGTCTCCTCGAGTGCCGAAAACTAGTGCTCGAAAGAAACAAGCGGTGATCAGAGAAAAGAGCAAGTAGTCTGTCTCCATTGTCTGATCGACTGCCACCGAGACCAAAACTACCCCCAATGTGGTGCTCGCTTGGTAGAAGGCGGCCAACCCGTGCGTTAAAGTCCCCGGCAAGAATGAATATCCGTCCGTTTGGAGGAACGCAGAAGTTCATGTAGTTGTTGGTAGAAGCTATCTTTAACTGCATCCGGGCTGCAGTCTGTAGGGGCGTAGGCGGAGACGACAAATAAGGCACGCTTAACATCTCGACGCCTGCTTACGTTACATGAACCTCTTAGTCTGACTGCACATAGTCGGCTGTTGACTGGGATCCAGTCAAGCAGAGCTGATTCAGCCCTGGCACTTAATACAACCCCAACACCAGCTTGACCAGTGGCGGCAGATTCTGGGTCTCCGGAAAGCCGCAAGTAGTATTTGGCGTCAGAGTTTACCGGAGAGGCCATTCTGATGACGGCGCTAGAGTCTTGTAATCTGGTCTCTGAAAGACAACAGATGTCTACGGATAGCGTTTCAAGAGTACGGGCCAGACATGCTTGTCGTCCGATCTGCATCAAAGTTCGAACATTAAACGCTGAGAGGATGAATGGAGAACCAGGTCGGAGAAGAGCTGGAGCTTCGGTGGAGTGAGAGGCGGTTGCGATCGCAGGACATGGAGAACCGGGAGTTTGGCTGTTACTTCCATCAGCTGCGAGACGTGGGTCGTTTGTGACGGTGACCGTAGAAGACATAAGAGTACATGTAGATGAAGGACGGGAGGTGGGGTGGTCTGTGAGTGGACGTTGAGCGGTTGAGTTAAGACAGAAGAGCGGCATAGCAAGTAGTAGTAGTGAGCGGTGAAATCTGTCCACTTAGTTTCCTCTCAAGCATCAGCATGAAAAAATAAGCCAGTACCGGGCCCAACGGATTACCCATAGCCACTCAGCCAATTTGGCGATATGTAGTGTGCTGGAATCGGAAAGCGACATTCTCCGTGCAAAGTAACAGGGACTGTCTCAGGAAGTCTGCCGGTATTGGTAGACGAAAATTCATCTCTTCTATCAGGTGGCAAATGTAATCAACTGTCTCAAGTAAGGGGACATTAGTAAATAACCACTGGACCTCCACGGAGCACATAACCTTGTCGGCTAGGCTGATTTGGTCTAGGTCTTCGGTTATTTCAAAAGAGTCCTTAACGCTGTGCAAATTGTAGTGCTGCCTCAGTGGCGCAAGGATCCGAACTAACCAGCGAGCCAATTTGTGTTGCGGGGAATTTACCATCGACAAAATGGGTCTTAGTAGCACACCGTACTTGTGAGTTTTTAGTAACCCGTACAGCTATGGTGTCGAGGAACCGCTCGGCTTCAGGAGCTTGTAGGTGGTTTCATCAATTACACGATGTAGGAGAAGCGTTTCAAGGTGTCGGGTTATACGGGCCTCTACTTCTGTCCGACATTCCATCCTGTCGGTGCATTGAAACTTACTTTCGTCACTTAGAACGTTTAACATTTTTTGTACGTAAGCGCCATTGCAGGCGCCATTGTCATTTATCATCCATCGCAACGGAGTACTTATTTGTGTTCATACACCAAATTGTGTTCCCTTATTTAAATGCACACTGAACAATGTTAACGGTAAAAATTCCGCAAAGTAACAAAATATCATTGTTCATTGCAGGCGATGGGAAATCAAACCATTATGTTAAGAGAATTATGCTTTTCTATTTTATTATTTGAATTTAAAGTTAGTCGCTACAAACTGTGGAAAGCTACCTGCACAAATTCGTGCCAGTGATCGGCAATGGGATAAGATCAATTATGACTGACATGCGGAAATGAATTTGCAACGACACCATTGTTGCGTAACTCACTGGTTCGTCAGTTTTGTCACTCAGTAAGTTAGCTAGTGCACTTCTCGTAGGGTATTTGGCTCTCAGCAGTCTTGCCTTCTTGAGTGATTCCTGTGGACAAAATTAACAGTAACAGAGGTTGTTCTGTAAACTGTCACTTTTTATGCAACATTTGCCTAGCTTCATACCATGACTTCAGTCGCAAGTGAAGTTATATGCTTATTACCATGTGTGGAATGGGCCGTCTGTGTTTTGGACCGATTTCCGCCAATGCATCATCTTGTGAATTGGGTGCGAAATGGAAGCGACTTGCATGCCCACCACGTCGGACTTGATCGTTTTATTTCAGAAAACACGTAAAACTGATTTATTGGCTGTTTTTTAGCCAAAATCAAAAACACTATAATTTGGTGGCACGAAAGCAGAAACTACTCATGTAGCCCTACCTTACTCTGATCACAGAGCAAACGTGTCTTAAGGACTTTTTCTTTGCATTTGTTTCGCACTGCTAATTTTCCGAGAGGGAACAAGTAGGTCACATGTAGCAATTATCAATGCTCCGTGCTACAACTTTTGATGTTTGTTTCTCTCGTTTCGATTGCATGCGCCTGATGGATCTAACTAAAATTTCTTTTGAGAAGCATCTCGTCGAACGGTTATTTGTTTTCATAGACCCCCATGCAACCTGATCCGACAAACTGCCACACTGTCTTGTATTGTGGAGAAATATGCAATTTACTTACTGGCATTTCTTACTGTTATTTCACTCTATTTATATATTTTGTTGACTATATCTGAGCCGGTCTGTTGAGGTTGAAGCTTCCAATCGAGGCGATTTGCTATAGACCTTCTGGCGAGTGCTAAAAGTTCCTGACTCAAAAGAGTTGAATGGTGGGGCGGGCTGGATGGCGGGAGAGCCCATTCTATATGTAGGTAAAACGGTCCGAATGATGAGTTAATGTAGTGATAACTTACTTGATTTTAAGCCACATCAGTACACGACCAGTGGCGAATAAAAACACGGAGGAAAACTTTCGACGGACCACCTCGCATGAAAGCAAAGCTTCAGAAGATGGTTCTGTGCATGGCTGTATTGCTTCACTTGTACGATTGGCTAAATGTACAGCTACTTTTACTGTCAACGTCTTCATATTTGCAATACATATAGATGGTAAATCAATCTGAACGATCGTTTCGGAACCACTTGAAAAATTCGCACATTTAGCTGTCCAACGCGATTTCGCTGTACGAAGTGAGCACAACACTCGATTTGACTGCATCTTACAATGACGAAATATACCATCTTTTTAGTTATTTATTCCTTTAATGCAGGGATATTGGTACTCAGACCTATATCAGTCTTCCGATCACCGAACGCGGACCAGAATGGTATGGTGAACAGACACTTTGCACGGGCTCTACTTCATCCTGGCCTCTAAGTCATCAACGATTACTGGGTCTTCTTTTTACTGCCGTATATTTCGTAATCTTATTAGCATATTTGGCCTTTATTGCCATTTATATGTGTCCCGTTTCCCAGCGGACATTCATGTTGCTCTTGATGTGTGCACAGACGACATAGTGTGACTACAGTTCGTTCCGTGAAATTATACCTCTGCTGTTTGGTATTCAGCTACGCTTGAGCAATTCTGGGAATATTTTGATGAACCTCACCACAACAAGGAAACAAGCAGAGTGAAAGGCATTTGACGAGAGAACTGATGAACCTGGCCTCAGGAAGGTGAATACAGTTTTAGGAGTCAAATCAGAGTGTATCCCATAATGATTACTGCTGGAATCTTGCCTTCACTTCGGGAATAATCAAACACATTAATTTGCCATGTTGATATCTTTTGTCATCTCATTAAAGTATCCCACGTCTCATCAAACGCATTCTGTCCCTTGGTTAAATGCGTGGGTGTTTCGAACATGAAGCATTTTCACGGGTGCACTATTCAAAAATAAGCAAAACCACAAGCAAGCGCAGCCAACCAAGCCGAAGGTCGTAAACCTGTTTAAGCAAAGCTGTATATCGTTTGAGCCTTAGGGTAGAGTTATGTCTGCATAGCCGTATTCTTTAACATATATATTTCATTTGATAAGGTCATTTGAAGTGATTGGCTGTTGTTTGATTTCCCCGGTGTGGCTGCGCTTGATGTGCATGTTGACAAGGTGCCTACCTGTCTATTACCCACTACCTCGTCCATACTGACTGCAGGAGACAGTTGGTCGTTGCTGGAGTGGACAGGGTGCACTGTCCTTGTGGTCGTGCTAGGCTCAAAGAGCGGTTCCATGCAGTCAGTGTGGAGCGGACTACGGTCCAGCCACCGCCTTGTGTGCGCTTGATTCCCAAATACAGCGTGCTGGTATTTGCCTGTGAAGGAGTGTGGGCCGGCTCCGTTGATGAAACATGGCTCCCATCTACATACCTCCCGGTCTTATTCCTTCGGGTTTACACTGGATATGGGGGTGTGTGGTTGGAGCTCAGAGTGGTGCAGTGTAAGCCATCCATGGTCCCTCTGTAGACGCATGCTTCCTGTGGATGGCTACAGTGACAGGCAAATCCGAAACCGGATGTCGCCAACCAAATCGTTTGAGCTTCACAATGCATGCAGACCTAGTGTCCGACCAGAGTGCAACTCGTACTGTGGGTGACCTCGAATTGTCTTTAAACGTCTAGGTGTGAGTGTTGCTCACTGTGAATGTCAGCAACACATGGTCCCTCTATTTATTCCTCCACTGTGTGCACACTTGAAAGGCACACTTGAAACCGCTGGTGTGTGTGTGTGTGTGTGTGTGTGTGTGTGTGACGGATTCGAAGGAACACTAATGAATCCCTTAGGTTGGTCGCCTACCCTCAAGTATACTCATCTTAAAAGCCAGTGGTAGTGATGACGCCGCTAGCGTGAATGGGCTGCATTCATTACTGGCTACCAAGCGCTTGCTGCTTACAATATTCCACATTCGTTCGTGCATTCGGTTGAACAAACTGGGTATAGGGATCAACAATTATACCTGGAGTCCAATGACTCTACAACGCTTCCTCGCTTTGGACTGCAGTTTGGAAATATGGTGTTCAAGGTCCAATAATTTTCGTTGTAAGCACCCACACGTTGGCTCGTCTGTGTGATTTGTCTCGGTTCTACTAGGACTGAGGTATGCACGTATTGCACTTGAGTTGTATTTTGTTTAAGTGTACGGTAGTTAACGCATTGGTTGGACCAGGGCGTTTCTATGTGTTACTTGAGACTCACAATGAGTCTGTCGTTGGCATAAATAGCTTATCGCCACAGTTGAGTATACAGCCACCTCTGCGAATGGCTGGGTAATTGGGTGTTATGCGGGCTACTTCTTGTAAATTGGCTCAAACAGTTTGAGCACTTTTTCGAAAGCCGAAGGTAGGACAGGACGCAGTGGGATTTGCTAGATATATTCTTTCTGTGATGTTGAATGACTAAGTGGAAGCCATTTGGAAACACTTGTAAGCGCCACACTTCAACCTGACAGACATGGCATTTTCACTCGAGCGACACCATTATCTGCTGGCTGGATGTCTAAATGGGACTCGAGTAAGTTACAAGCCCCGCTAACATCGGTTCGTGTCTCGTTACATTCCCACTTGCCAAATGGATCTTGTTACATTTCTTCTCGTGTGACACCGTGACTTGAAGTCAATGTATCCCATCTCAAGTTGATAAGACCACCCAATTATGTTGATAAGACCACCCAATTGGTCTGCGCCTCGCACTGCTGAGGAATAAAACGTTTATTTATTTATTTATAAGTGTCTCTGTACGCACGCCCCCTTGTACTGCTGCCGCCTTCAGGTAAACGCACTGAGATTCAGACAAGTTATCAAGGTTGATTCCGGAACAGCGGCAACACGTTGTGACATCCACATCGAAATGCTTGGGTACAGGTAGCATTCTAGACACAGATGAATTGGTCGACATATGCTAGTGGTCAGAACAAGCGATTATAACGGATAGGCTGCAGTGGACATAATCGCACTATTTCCCTGCTAAGTTGCAAAGTTGTTTACTCCATCTACGTCATGTTCTTTGTGTTATCCATATTCTATATGCCACATGTTAGTCGCGTTTTGGTACAGTTTCATTCTAGAAGGATTAAGTACTGACTTGGTGCGATGTGCTATCTTTATTGCACATGCCTAGAACTGATGAGCCACAGGTAACCTAATTTTATTAGGCTTATTTAACTCGGTTGTATTTCGCGAGGACTTCACATGTTACCCATTACAATATTGTACTCATTATGACCTATGCTGTGCTATTCTTGCTACATTCTCCAGTGGAGTCTAGTATGATTACATACCGAGACGGTGAGCTACGGCATCTTCCTCTTCGTATTATTATCCGGCCGCGATTCATATCACTATGTAAGCTCTATGGTATTACTCACTAGACTATGGCATCTACATTCTGCCCCTTGAAATCGAGTTGCAGGTTACATAACCGTAACTTGACCAGCTGCTCAATGCTAAGTAGCATGACGCTAAGAGAGCCGGTGCATCGCAGAATAACGGTTCAGTTCATCCATGAGCTCATTCGTAAGTGACATGCGCGCGGTGCTCCGAGCGATTTGTGTGCTTGATACGGATCAATGCCAGGGTGGCAAATTATTGTGTGTTTCCAGTTCGATGGATATGTTTGAATCTAAAGGTTATCGCTTAGCCACTTACAGTACGCATGAAGTGTCAAGTTTGACATTTGGAACACAATGCTCAACGACTGTCCCTCGTGTGACCACATTGGATTATGCATTCGAAGAGAAAATTCCCTGGAAATTCTGTGGCAAATGAACAATCCCGACAATTAACCGACTAGCGATGATCACGATGTCGCCATTTTATGTTCCACTTTGCAGGCTAGTGATGAAGGTGAGCATAGTTATAGTTCCAATTGTCCCTCAGGCATACTGGATTTACCGGGGCTTATGAAAACACACGTACTAAACGGATGGAAGCCAGACGAGCAGAGATGCCTACCAGAAGTTGCATTGCACATGGTCAATCTTTTGCATAGACTAAGTAAAAGGTTGAACCTAACGGGAATGGTATGTCATAGTGTTAGTATATTACATCGGAAAGG